ACAACAGCCATCTGAAAAACGCTCTCGAGACCGAGAGCGGCCAATGTTGCCGAATCCCGGATGCCAAAAAATGGCTGAAAGAGTAAGGCAAAGCCGATCAAACTCGTTATGCTGCACGTGGATGATACTTCCCTGCCATCGAACTACAGTCAGTTGCTGTCGCAGGCCCGTTTCGCAAATTCCAGCTTTATGAAAATCTGGCCGCCGTCCGCATGTGAGATTTCTCCAAGCTTGGTACACAGGGATCGACGTCAGGAGATGTACTTGCAGACATAGAAAACAACTACTTTATTCTCGCAGCTTGTACTCACTTGAGCTGCAAGCTGTGCAGGCACGCAGGTCGGGGATCACTCTTTGACCATGAAGTAACATGTGCCGATTCTGCCAATAAACCACTGGGCAGCCCACCTGACTGAAAGTAGGCGCCCATTTTACAACTCCCAAACAGCAGCTTATGCTGGGACTCTCTTGCTTGTTTCTCGCCACACTCGAACAGTCGTGCATGCCACTTCTTAGCAGCTCGACGACGGGAGAAAACTTACTGAGCACACCTGGTCTTGACGCTCGGCTTCCTTCGCATTAGGCAATACCCGCCGCCACCACTGCAGCCCTGCATATGTCACAACAAGGACAGGCAGCACACCCATGCCACTACTTTCACTCGCAGCTTATACTCACGTGAGCTGTAAGGTGTGCAGGCACGCAGTTCGGTCAAGGGATAGTCAAACTTGATACGGCGCTTCATTTGGGAATCTCTTACGGTTCACTTTGACCATGAAGTAACATGTGCCGATTGTGCCAATAAACCACTGGACAGCCCACCTGACTGAAAGTAGGCGCCCAGTTTACAAATCCCAAACAGCAGCGTATGCTCGCACTCTCTTGTTTGTTCCCACCATGGAACAGTCGTGGAGGCAGCTTAGAACTCCTTAGCAACTCGACGACCGGAGGAAAGATTAATGCGCAGGCCTGGTCTCCATCACGCTCGGCTTCTTCGCACGCAGCAACCCAGGGACACTCACACTGCAGGGCACACTGCAGCGCCTGCAAAGATCGTTTGAGCGCGCTTACTTCATATCACTTCACGCCGCATGCCCATTCCTGTCATGCAAACGCTCCTCAGAAGTACACCGATATCTGGCGGAACGCATGTTGCTTGGCAGCAGCAGTCATGGCAAAAAAGGTGTTGACCACGTTCTGATGGGTTTCCCATAAAGGTGATGCACCTCCAACTGTGCAAAGCCACTTCGTCAGCCGTTGACCCAGCCGTCGGAGCACTAAGTGCTCTAATTACTAGGGGGAAGTCCCCTACCTGCAAAGCCCGCTATTGCACTACACTCCCACACGGCAGCTGGGATTGGAATGGATTCGGGATTCTCCTGAACTGGCTTGCAGGATTGAATCCTGCTTTTCAATGCAGGTCTCTTCTGGACTTTGCCTTGACCTTGGGATTTATCCTCATACTGTTCATAAGGTCTCGGGCAACCCTGGCTTTGCAACGCATCTTGGGCTAATTGGGTGCGGGTAGTAACAGGAACCAGTTTGGGCAGTAACGGAAACCGCACCAGCAAGCAGTAACGGCAACTGGCGCGAGCAGAAACAGGAACCGCCCCCGGAGTGTAACAGCAACCGCGGTTGTGGGAAAACCACGTAACAGAAACTGCGGCTGCCACGCCGTTCAACAGTCTCAGGGCAACCCCCCCCCCTCTCGCCTCGAATTGGCGGGGGTTCGCGGGCTGGGATTTCAAAGGGTAGTAGAATCTTCGGAGCGGCCTCATGGAGTCGGGCCCAGGGTGTCGGTATAATCTTTAAACCCAAGAAGCACAGAATAATAGAATTCCGTCCCTACTTGGACCCAAAGCGAACATTAGGCAAGTGTCTCCTTGGTTTGGGGTCCAGCGGAATGCGTGAGGTGTACAATGGCGAGACGACTCACGACTTCTTCCACATATAAGAAAGAAAACCGGCTCATGGCAACCGCCCCCCCCTCGCCTCGAGATGGGGGGGTTGCCGGGTCTGGATGGGAAGGCAGGCTGACACTCCAGTCGTCCGGCCGGTTCCTGTTACCAGCCCTCCTCCCGGAGCTGTTACGGAAACTCTTTGATGCTGTTACCGCCATGGCCCCTGTTCCTGTTACAGGTTCCTGGTACGGTCAGCCGGTGACCGTTACGGCAATTACTCTAATTACTCTAAGATGGTCCCACCGTCGCACGAAGGCAAACCACCGAAGCGATCAAAGCGACCGCATCACACACGAGTGGACAAGCAATTGTAAGTCCTCCAGGCGTGGCAAATGATGCCTTCTGAAGCGCTCTCTCTAAATGCTCTGTCTGCCCGGAAACTCAAAGCAGCGGGCCATCCGGGCCAAGATGTTGCTTCCTCAGGCCCATAGACGAATTTCTGAAATGGCAGTTCAGGCCACACCCGAGGCTGAGCCAGGGTTGTGCACTGGCTTGCAGTGGCTATCAGGAGAAGCCAGAGCCCGAGACATCGACAAAAAGCAGGGACAAGAATCAAGCTTGACGCAGCCCTTCAGCCGTCACCCGACCGCTTTGGGATTGCAAGCCCGTTGTTCTGGTTGGGTTTGCAAGCTTTCAAAGGCGCGGGCAAAGCTCCTTGGAAAACACACAGGGCCGAATCCTGCCACCACAAAATGACAAGTCGCAATGGGTAAGCGCACGCCTCGGCACGCTGGGCACTCCCACGACACCCAAAGTGTGCATTCGCTCCACCTCTTTTGTAACGGGTTATATGGAATGCAGAGAAGACTTAAATGTAAGGGGTTGACTACATGAGCTGCATCTTTGCATTCTCATGCGCACCGCTAGACACGAAAACCAACAACCCGCAAACGAAGTCGCAGAAGCGCTCAGAGAGGCAGTCCAACGAAATGAGTCTGAAGGGTCTGCTGGCCTCAACCTGAAAGCCCAGTCGCAGGATACCTTGTGAATTTCAACACAAGTGTTGTCCTAAACCGTTCATGGGTTCTACAGGCTGGCTTCATTGGAACCTACTTTGGAACCGATGGGCATTTAAGGAGTTGCCGACATCATGCATGTCGATTGATACACTTAGTCCGGGGCACTTTCAAGGAGCTCGCATGGCCGCAAGTACGACCACACCTTGCATCTGCGGTCTCCAAACGGCGGATCGATTGCGCCAAGGGTAGGGACAGTAGCGCCAGGAGCATCTATCAGAGAGGCAGCGAAGTGAGTGGCTTAAATGGGACAGTAAACAGAAAGCTCTGGCAGCGCCGTTGCCCAAAGGCAGAGCTCGACAGAAGCCTGCGAGGCGATTCGTCAAGATCGGAACGTGAGCCTCAACCACTTCGAGGCTCGCGTCGGGCTTTGAAGTCCAAACACTCCTTTGCTCCGGCTTCTGCTCCGGTTCGGGGTTTTGGTTGGGTTCAGAATGTGAATCTTCGACAAAGTTCCAGCCCTGGTGCAACCGACCAGGCCTGCAGAAAGAAGGGCCGCCATTCCGCAAGAAATCATGTGGGATCCATGGAACTGATGAGGTACACTATCATGTCTTTGCGTTTCGCGAAGCTCCACCTAGGAACCGATCCGCACACATTCTTGCTCAGCTTGCAAGCAGGTGCATGCGCACATACACACGTTGTATCCATGGTGTCCTGGCTGCACGTTTCGGTCACTTCACGGTCCCGCATCTATTTGTGGCACGAGCTGGCTGTGCCAAGCCAGCCAATCTGACATACACAACTTTTGATCTGCGGCGACAAACGACATGCCAGGGCTTGCCCAAGAGACTGTTGGGACCACCATAAAAAAAAAGGCTGGAGGCCAAGTTGTTGTTGCCAGAGCCTGGAAACGGTTTTTAACGCAACGCTGATATGCACGCACAGCTGCGGCCATCAAGCTTTGCTTCGTGTCTGTTTGTGGTCAGCTCTGGCTTCAGCCTGACGCCAAACCTATGTGCACAGGCTTCGCTGATGAGTTGAGTTGCATTTCTTGGAATCACACCTTTTCGGCCTGAATTCGACGACCGCGATATTCTCCAAAGACCTCTGAGACGGCCTTAGTAGGCATTGAGAGCGGAAAACAACCTGCAACAAACACGTTTCAACTTAACTGATCCAGCATGATGGGCATCAAACTGAACCCGACAATGATGCAATGTGTAAAAAAACCTATCTAAACGTGACATGACGTGACTTAGCCCTGCCTTGTCGGGCGTGGTGGGAATGGTGGCTATTCGTGCCGCCACACTTTCCTGTTCACAAACTGCGAGCAAAAATTGCAAGAATGAAAAGTGTAACACCAATATGTTCTAAGAGAGGTCCAATCCTAGCACCAATGAGACTCAATCCCCCGACTGACTTGCTGATCTGCGATGCGGCTCAAGCACCAAACAAGTTTACCAACTTTCAATAGCACCAGAACACGCAATGGCCCTGCCCGCTCACCCAAGAAACCTGCCTACAAGCCATCAAGCAAAACGACAGCCCTGCTTTGTCTCTGGACTTTGTCGAATATTTTCATGTTACTCTTGGTCGGGCTGCTTAGATCTGCACTACAAGGTGTGTTTGTGCTGACAGCTCTCGTTGACGGACAATCCAAACGTTGAAATCCCTCACACAAACCTGAAAACTTTAGCCATGCTGAACTGCTGAACCGAAGCTTGTCTAAAACCCTTTCGACACATGTGTTTCTACAGAACTTCTGCAAGTCCCCGGAGGTAATTTTCAATCGAAGTTGCATGACATGCATGTGTTCACATAAGCCTCTTGAAGCACAACGGCTGCAACTCTGCTTTCGCCAATCACAGTCCCACCCGCATTCAGGCTGCCGTTCCAAAGGCAGCCGGCCAACCACAGCAAGAAAGGCTACTGCAATCTGTATCGAGCCATCGCATCGGCAGATCAGTCGGCGTAGACAGTCCAGCTTTGCCGTGCGAGCAGCTTCTGAGAGGACCAGATTCTATGAGGTCGCGCTTCCTCGCTCTCCATACTTCTTTTTAAAACGTGACTCCTCAAGCCGTCATTCTGTACGCGCCACTTTCAGGCCCCTGCCAACAGCAGCTTCACTCTCGAATCAAAGTACCGCAAGCTCGCCAGACTAACACCAGTGCTGAGGTCAAGACTGCGCAGACGAGCTGGAGGACACAGATTCCTCATGCCGTGTCTTGCGGGCACTGCATCGCCGTGCATTCTCCGTCCTCTCAGAGCATAAGGCCCAGCCAAGACACGTCGGCATCCGCCGCGGTTTCAGGCACAACGGACTCGGCGGGCTTCGATGCAGCCTGCTCTTGAACCTCAATAGGGGGTGCAGCGTCTCAGTGGAGCATGCCAGATCTGTCCGGGGGTTGCGCCGGGGATAGCGGGACCTGGCCGTTGCAATTGTTGATCAGCAGTGTCGTCAGGTGCAACGTCCCTTGCAAATTCCGATAATTCCAACGTCGGGCTCGCCAGCTGGCGCACGAGATTGCCAACATCCCTGCCGAACAACCCGTACTCCTCCCTCCTTCAGCAGGCGCATGGAACAATTCGAAGGTCTGCAAGCGGAGCAGGAGAAGTGCTGCAGAAGCAAACAGCTTCTGCTGCCCCGCACCGCAGACAAGCAGGAAAGCTCCGCATTGGCTTCTCAGCTTGGCAAAAAGACCGAGGACGACCGGCCTGAAAGAGGCGATGGCAGTGTTCACCCAATGGAAGATGGACACCTTGTCGATTGACAGCGCCTTCCAGTGCAGGGCATTCAGCACTCTGGGCCAAGTCGTTGTGGCCGGACTCTGCCAAAACTTTAGGCATGGCCTGACCGGGTTGGTAGAACCTCAGTTGTGTCATAGTTACAAGTTACAACTCTCAGACTGCACTGGTTCTCTCAGCAACTCATGTTCGGATTCACGGGGAGCCTGCTAGAGCTGCTGGAGCTGCAAAAACGACCCCAACTTTTGCATGCCAGGCGCATAACACCATTGCGGAGGCGCAACAGGGCTGCTGCAAACCTCGGAACTTTCTGCGGCACGGACGTGATCCACATGTCGTCCAATGGTTCAATCGACATCATACAACCACGCCTCCGGAATCATTAGCAGTCATGGTGTTCAACATGCTGGGTTGTTGAAGGTGTTCTGAGGACTGTGGTCTGGAAGCAGGCTCCTGACACGAGTCGTGGTGGCCTTGTCTTCGCCGCGGCCAAGCATTTTGGGCACTGCTTGCACTGGCTTCACTACAGGGCCAAGGCCTCAACCGAACCATCAAGACACACCGATCGACATCAATCAAGCATCACGTGGCTCCAACTTGAACCTTTTGCTGGATTCGCTGTTACCCCATGCTAGGACAAGCCTGCGCGAGGGCGCCGCTTCTTTATCGGCCTCTCTCTCTTTCTCGTAACCACCTGTTTTGGGGCGGAGCTGGCCCAGCGAAAGCCAGACAGCTGCAATTACTCGAGCCTCAAACCGTGCTCGGGCTTGCTTGCACTAGAGTCGAGGGTGACTTGCAGAAGGTCGCTCCGGTTTCCCGAGTCCAGTCCCGCGGCAGCACGTACGACTTGGAGACGCACATGCTAGCTGGACTGGGATTGAGTACACACGTGCAAGCAGCGCAAGCACGCCACGGATCAAAACAGAAAAGACGAACTCATGACACAAAATAGGTCAACGGTGTACTCAATCACGTCTGTTTGGCTGCTACGAGGACGGCCCTCGCATGAGCCGACAGGAAACTCGCTGTGTTGACTAAAAGGCAGCAGAAAATTCAGGAACACGAAGCCTTCTCAATGAGGGCTTTTCCGGAAGCCTGTGACACCACAGGAACCTGAGTTCGAAGCTCTTGGTGCGAGTTGGAAGCGCCACAGTCCTCCAAGGTGTGATCTGTGGGAACATCAGTCTATGAAGATAGAGGACAATGACCAGGCCCCACAATGCAGCCATGAAAGTTTACTCAGAATGGTATCTTGCAAGCTCTCACACCGCCTGAAGTGTGAGAGCAACAGGCTCCAGCCAGTCTGACAACAGGCTCAACGCCTCCTCGGAGCAGGCCGCTGAGACAACGCGCCACGTCAGGCAGAGGCAAATACAACTGCAATGGCCTTCATGGAAGCATCGTTGCGCTTCATCATCGAATCCTCAGCCCAAGCTTCGAGTTGCGCTGCCCACAGCATCTGTCGGAGCCCGGATCAACGATTGGCATACCCCTTACGACAGTTAAAACGTGATCCCAGGAAGTCTGAGAGTATGCACCAAGGCATTCTTCCAGCCATCGAGTGCCAAGGAATGCTGACCTCCCGGAGACATTCGCCCAAATGGTTTCGAGTTTCGAGTGCCAGATCGCCACCTGCACCACATTCTGCCCGATTCGTCGTGGAAAAGCCTGGCAAACTGCAGTAAACGTCTGCGCCACATCCAAGAAGCAAACTGGTACTTTCGGGCTCGTTCCCTTCAGAATGCGGCCTTGCAAGACTCCCAAGAGGACCTTGCTCGAGAACCCGTCTTGCTCCTTCTGACAGCGAAGGCACTGGGCTGGCATCCGTGGATCTTTTGATGCGCTTTACTTTCTCTCCCAAGATGTCATGAACCAACAGGAGCTCAAACAAAACTGCGCCACATGGCACGGCGCGGCTGTCTTCCTCTCCAGACAACCGTACAGCCGTCAGCCGGGCGTTCTCCCCTGCCTCGAAAGACAAACAGATCTACTGCAATCTTTGTTGAAGCGGGCCGGCCTCGTTTGCTGCCGTAACTCCGAAGTGAGTTGCTGTCTCTGGCACGGAAATGCCTGTGGGAATTGCCACCTGCAAAGAAAGCAGACTGAATGCCATTTCGCAGAGCGCTGCGCCAACTACCGAACTTCCGAGCTCCTGGCCTGCAAGGGCATGCCGCGGACGCTGCAGGCCTCGCAACGGGGCTGCACGAGAGTCAAGCGTGGGCTCGGGTCGCGGCCTTGAAGGGATTAGCCGCCATTTTGCAGCGCCAGATCTTGACGACAGGCCGAATCCTGAGATGACAAAGTTCGCCGAAATGGCGGATCCTCGATCCTGTCCTCTAAGGGGCTGGCACTTCTGGAGTGTACCACAAAGCCTCATTCGTGGTCGAGCTCTCGGTGGCGTCCTCCTGCACAGCATGACTTCGAGAGGATTATGCGGAAACAGCATCCTCACAAGAGCTTAGGCCCTGCATGGCCCAAAGCCTGCAGACTGCCAAACCGCAACTGCACATGTCTGAAATCGAGAGCTAGCTTGAGAAGAGGGCCACGAAAAATGGGGGAAGCGTAGCAGGGAAAGGCTAGGGCGACTCGTCGAATCTATTGCCGCATAGCACTGCGAATCACTCCAGCATGGCGGAGGCTTGGAATAAGTATGTGCAAAATTAAAAAATGAAAACTCCCGCTGTTGGCATCTTTGGACCCGCACCCACCATTCCTCCTAATTAGTGAAGGAGGGACATAGCTGGTTGGCATGTGCCAGCAGGAAAATGCCAATACACCCCACATAACCCCAAAGATGCTGTGCGAAAGTCACAACACGCCGCTGCATGTGCAACCACCGGGTTTTCTATGGCTCGCCGTGCAGAGACGCACTTTGTCAGAATCGGCAGATGCATGTTGAATCTAACTACACGAAAGTCCTATTCTAACAATTAAGTTGGAAACTGCTGCTGGAAACCAGTGTCGATCTCGTGATCGAGACTGCATTTCTGCACTACGTGAAAGGATTTGAAGGGGACGGGGGCAGGCCCACCTTCTGCAATCACGCTTATGGCTGCTGGTGTGGGGCAGCCTTGGGAGTCTGAATAAATCATTTGCGTGGTGCAGGGAGGGGGGGCTCGCCCCCCCCACTTTGCCTGGATGCTATCCCCACGTTCCCGGCAAAATTGCATACTCCCGGCTCCTCAGAAGAGAAGCCTGAGTCCACACCTGGTCGAAACATGTCGAAACTGCAACATGCTGTAGTGCTGCAACCTCCACACAGTCAGGGGGTTCGAAGCCCACCGGGGCTTTTTGGCGATGCTCCCCAAAGCGGTTCATGGTGAGACTGCGAGGCTAATGCCATGCTCTGTGCACACACTAGACAACTAGAAGTCTGTATCATCTTCCACAGGCAACTTGCGATATCCACTGGGTGCGCTGTGCTTGAACGCGCTGAAGTCGGCCAAAGCCATGTCACCCGGGTCCTCATTGGACTCTGCCCGGCGTTGGCGACCTGATGGCGTAAGGCGAAAAGCGAGTAGGCCACAGCAGAAGATCAGGGTCGCGATCGTTGCGAGGGCGATGGACAGTGCTCGCTCGCTGTGCTGCCAGAAGGGCCGGGTGTGTGGCACACACCTGCCCTCGCTGTTCAGCTTGTACTGCTCCTCTGTCGTCGGCTTTGGGCAGAGGACGCATTTTTGTGCAGAGACACAGCTGACACAGAGGTCCGGGCACCGCTTGCAGCGGTGGGCCTGGTAGTCCGGCCAATACCCCACGTCGCAGAAGCGCACACAGCTGCGAGTACGAACGTCGAAGAGTGGCAGACCCTCAACGCACCCCTGGCGTGCCAAGTCCATTGAGTAATAGCCTCGGTGGTTGCCGTCAGAGGAGAGCACCATAAGTCTGATCTTGCGCTTCATCCCCATAGGCACAGGAAACTGGAGATACTTGTTTGGATACTGGAACTCCCCATATGCTTCCTCTCTGAGCCTTCGGATGGGCGTCGATCTCAGCGGTTCTGGCTTGCTGTTGTCCCGCCACTTGTCCAGCCCGGTGACGTTGTCATCTGGCACCGGAGGCTCGGCTTCCGCCACAACTGTTTGGCCTTGATCCTGAAGGTGCAACTCCAGCATCGCTAGCTCTGTAGATACATCCAAGAAGCAGCGGTACATTCCATGATGGTTGGGGCTGAACTTGGGGTGGACGGTGTGTCCCGCCACGATTAAGTGTCTCAAGTTCGTTTCTGTTCCATGAAGCCTGTTGACATTTATGGTGTACGTTCTGGATCTGCCGTGGAGCTCCACGTCGAATTTGTAGAGCGTTTTCTCCCCTCTGTCCAACACTACCTTCTCTGAGAAGTCGATAATGGCGCGTGGGGTTTGGTAATGCAGGCAGTCCAGGTTTGGACATAAGTAAATATTGGTGATGATAGCCTCACCCAGGGGCGTAGCCTGCACAGCAAAGAAATGCATCTTGTAATCCAAGGTCGCATTGTACATCACATCGTTTGGGTTGAAGACCGGCGTGGTGTCAATAGGCTGCTCCTTGTACTTTAGGTACATAACATCCAGCTCAGGCTCTGACATTCCAGCATTGCCCCCCGTTTGCCCAAGGAATGTGGCTATGGCTATAAGCCATCGTGGCCAACAGCAGTGCTGCTCCATCCATTTCAGTTATGGCTATTTGCCGTGCTCACTGGCCCAGGCTCCCCTAAGGACTCCATTTACCCTTGGCCGGCTTTGCGGGGGTAGCCATAGAGGGCCTGAGCCCAAATGTTGAGAACAAAGTTTGAGGCATCCGGATGCAAAGCAAACAGCTCGAGGGTGCAACTCACGCACGAGGCTCCGGCGCTGAATCAGCAGCTCATCTGACCAAGAAATCTCCTGCCAGTCGCTCGAGGCTGGGACAAGCCGACGGAGGACCCGAGCAGGGACCTGTCCTGCTTGGCCCAGTACATGACGTACTCCACGATCTCTGCAAAGCTCATTGGCGCAGGTTGCTGAGCCACAGCATGCTGCAGGAGAGCCTGCTCTTCCTCCAGCTCGGGGGGGAAGATCGTCACCCTCCCAGCAGTGACCTGACGCGGTCAAAGCCCCAAGGGCTCTGCAGGATCTGCTCATGCTTCGAACTCCCAAAGCCTTCCGGTCTGCGGACATCTCGAAGCCCTCAAGGACCACGGCCTTGGCCTCGACAGCTTGTGAAGAGGATGGAAAATTCTTTCTGGACTGTTGGGCCCTCCTCTTTTGTCCGGAGGTTGTAGCTGTGGTAGTAGCAATACTAGTAGTATAGGAGTAGTACCGCATCCCCCCCGGTGCGACGCCCAGACCTCTTATTTTGGGGACTTGTTGTGGTCGGAAATGCTGTGTTTTACAGCACTTTTTCCACAGTTATCGAAAGTGGCAACTGTTCCTGGTTTCGTGTGTATTTTTTATCATGTTGTCTAACATTGTTCATCAATCTCGCACCTCAAAATGCTAGTATTTACAGCACTTGTCTTTGCGAATTGCATGATTTTTTGCTGTTTTTTGAAGTCTCGATTTTCCTGCCCAAAACCTAGCGATCAGAATGAAGGTTTTTATGGCCTAATTTTGACCATGATGTTCATCCAACTCGTTGGAAAAGACAGCATCCATGTCCACAACCTGATGACGTCCATGGTCTAGCGCATTGAGGTTTGGAGAGCATCCATGTCCAAAACCTAATGACGTCCATGGTCTAGCGCATTTTGGTTTGGAGAGCCACCATGTCCAAAGCCTAATGACGTCCATGGTCTAGCGCATTTTGGTTTGGAGAGCATCCATGTCCAATACCTAATGACGTCCATGGTCTAGCGCATTGAGGTTTGGAGAGCATGTCCAAACCCTAATGACGTCCATGGTCTAGCGCATTTTGGTTTGGAGCGCATCCATGTCCAAAACCTAATGACGTCCATGGTCTAGCGCATTGAGGTTCGGAGAGCATCCATGTCCAAAGCCTAATGACGCCCATGGTCTAGCGCATTTTGGTGTGGAGAGCATCCATGTCCAAAACCTAATGACGTCCATGGTCTAGCGCATTTTGGTTTGGAGAGCATCCATGTCCAATACCTAATGACGTCCATGCGCATTGAGGTTTGGAGAGCATGTCCAAACCCTAATGACGCCCATGGTCTGGCGCATTTTGGTTTGGAGAGCATCCATGTCCAAAACCTAATGACGTCCATGGTCTAGCGCATTCCGCGACAGTTCTGCTGGAAAAGTAGTAGTAGTAGTAGTAGTAGTAGTAGTAGTAGTAGTAGTAGTAGTAGTAGTAGTAGTATCTAGTAGCAGCAGCAGCCGCAAAAGTATCAATGCATCTATTTAATCAAAGTCATAGTCAGCAACCATTGCAGAATGCCAGAAAACCGTCCAGAGTCCTAACACAGTCCTATAAAGGTACCAATGGCAGCAATTAAGAAATTAGGAATGACAGCAGCAACGACAACAACAAGACTATTTTACTAATAGTGACAACATCAAATACAAGCGTAATTAAAGCGATCATGACAATAAAAGTTAAGCACTATCATGATAACAATACCAGTGATAGCAACAAGAAGAACAAGAAGAAGCGTACAAATATTCGCACTACGAATAACACTAGTGACAGTAATAGCGGTAATGATAACACTAGCAATAACAGTAACAAGACTCATAAACAATAATGATACTAGAAAACAGCACTTGTAATTGTACGAATTTCAACAATAATCACGATGATAGTAGTTGTAATGATGACTCTCATAGAAAAACTCATGGTGACAGTAAGAAAATAAGATCAACAATGATTGCACTAGTAGCAACCAAGTGAAGAGTCGCTGGCACTAGCATTGGTAAAACGAGCTTCTGGATGGTGGGGTGGTGCTGGCGGCCAGGGCTCACGCGCAAGCCCTTCGCAAGCAAGCCATAAACCCTATGACGCAGCGCGTGCCCCTGTTTTGAGCAACCTTAACTTGTACTTAAAACACTACACCCAACCCTAGACACCACCTAACCGCAGGCTCTAAGCCTAAAGCAGAGCATACACCGCAAATCCTCCCTAAGCCCTTGTCGACTCGAAGCCTTATACCTTGCAACCGCAAACCCAAAACTCAAAAGCTTAAGCTAAACTAAACCCTAAACCCCAAAACCCCACAACCACCGCACAGGAGGAAGATGAACCCCACACCCCACACCACAGGGGAGGGGGGGGCCCCACCCTATATCCGGACCATTGACCTTTGGGGGGGGAGGGGGGGAGGGGGGGGGGGCCTCGGAGCGCGTGACCATCTATGCCTCCATCGTTCTTTTATAGCTTTCTTGTCTTTGCATGTTTCGTGTTCTTTCTTTGGTTCCTTAGCTTTTTCCATGGTTTGTTCGTTAGTTACTTGTCGTTCTTTCGTATGTTGCTTGACTTTACCTGTTGCTTCTGTATGTATTGTGTCATATCCACGCTTGTCGAGTTCTGCTTTTTCTTTGTTTTCCCTGTTTTCGGATCTTTGTCTCATATCCTCCTCTCTGTCTTTCTCTCTAGCTTTCCTGTGTCTTTCTTGACACGTTCTTTGCATCTCTCTCCGCTTTCTGGCTTTCTTTCTGGCGTCTCTCTTTTGTTCCTCTTGCGCAGTCCCCTCCCTCCCTCAAATAAAACACCAAACACTTAAATGAAGACGATAGTAATAATGAAGCAAACGCTACAAGCGTCCTCGATCGTCCTCGCATCAAGAGAGTGAACCGAAAATCCAAGGACTGGGCCGAGTAATGAGGCGGGTCCTGTGCATTGAGCTGCACGAGAACGCACAATACAATGTAGTTAGCCAAGCCCGAAGCAAGAGAAAAAACAAAAAACTGGCGCCTGATCTGCCCGGATTTGTATATCACCTCAAGACAGGAGTGGCAGTGGCCCAGCAGCGACATGTTTCATGTTTTTGTGGTGCAGTCTTGCTCGGTTGAAGTGGCCCGCGAGGGCAAACTTTAGACCAAGCCACCAAAAGTCCCATGGAAGCTGTCAGCATCAGTGGGAAACCGCAGTCGCCAACACCCCTTGCATCCTGCCGCATAACGCCTCCTGGAAGCTCATAAGTCCTAAGGCTTGAAGGCTTCTGGAAACTGGAGCTCAGGGCCCCACCCGTCTTGAAGCTAACGCTGGCTCGCTCTAGAAGGCGGAACCTGAGTGCGCGTTAGATCGACAGGACCTGCGTGAGCATCATTGCATGGTCACCACCCCGACGACGATTCTGACCATGAATACGGTGAGGATGGAGACGACGATGGTGACTGATGGCGTGGGTGATGTTGCAGGAAAGTGAAACCGGCAACGAAAAACAATCAAGACGATCGCACGCTGTTTCGACTGGTCATGCGGAAAAGTAAACCTCATCTGTTCCCAGTGCCTACAATAGTCGGGGAAAAGACGTACGTTACTTTGGCGGACAGATGCGCTACACTGAGTGCTAAGTCAGGGCGAGCCCAAACTTTTTTGAGCCAGCTCATCTTGACACCCTTCCGCACTAAATGGATTAGGATCTTATGAGGACTTACAGTGACATGGCGTCGAAAATCCCACGTCTACGCGTGACCTATCGTGACAGGGCACTGAAACTTTTTCAGGTCGAGGTCCAGACCCGGCATGCAAATCCTGACGTGCTTCCCGCAACATGAGCATGTTCTGAGACCAGACCTCAGCGATGTTACCAGCCTCGCCCTCTGCTGTTTTTTCGATTGCCAGAGCTAAGACACCGGCCCTTGCCTCTTCGAGGGTTGGATACTTCTCCGCCAGCTCCCTGGCCTCAAGAGCATCTTCGCTTCGACTGCCTGCGCTCCAAGGTGCCACCACAACTTCCCCGCCTGATGGTCGGGGACGCGCCAGGAGGGCCCATACCTTGCCTCCACGTAAATCTCCTGCGAATGCACTCTGAACTTCCGAGCAGCGAGCAGTGGAACAGAAAAACCTTCAATCCGATTCATCCAAACATTGCAGCACGCACAGGCTGGTGCCTTTACTGTGTGAGTTTTAACCGGATTCGTTGGCCAAGATGCACATTGACTCGGTGCCTTCTCCCGCGGTGCAGGAAACGTGTGATTGCGGATTTTCACCTCTGCAGCCACTGGGCCCGGCTCACTTCAAACATTCGATGCCCCGTGCTGCGAAAGATAGGATGCTTGCGGCAGATGGTGGGTAGATCAGGTGCTTGGTGGCAATGGCGAAGTCCATGTCTGCATCATGTCGAAACACGAGCACATAGCATAAGCGTTTTCCGTGACTCCTTCCTCTTCAAACATGCTTCAGATTCGCTGCGTCAGCCAGATAAGGGGTGCATACTTGCATGGAGTGCCACAATCGCAATGATGACTCAAATGGCTGCAGGAATGGCCTTCATCGTAAATGTCCATGTAATAGGCCAGGTCGTTGCCTGGGGAACTCTGAACCAAACTCCGAACGTACACGAACTCCGAACATAATGGACCACGCCAGCACCAGAAGCCCTGAGCCGAGGTTCGCACCCACCTTCTCGGTGTCCCATTCAAAGTGTTCGTTGAAAGGCGCCTCGATCGCCAAGGCTTGCGACTTCTCTGCCCCCGCTAAGCACGGAGAAAACGAAACTCAGATCAGCACTCGATTTACAGGGTAGCCCTCCCACCTGCAGCGAATGCAATTTCGCTTGCTGTTGATCAGGAGGCGATATACACATCATGCAGCCAAGTAGCACAGCACACAGCCGGGCACAGTGCGGCTGGTCTGGATCCTCGGATGCTGAGCACATATTGGTCAAAAACCTAAGCCCCAATCCCCGGTCTGGGCATCCACGCGACCATGAAGTGGTAGGACTTCGGGCCCATCTGCTCCTCGCAGCATAGTCGCAATTGCAAGACGAAGACACAGCAGCCGGGCACGCCACGCAAGTCTGATAAGGCGGCGCACTGCGCAGACTCGCCTCGTTGATGAGCATTGCCCGTTCCCAACCTCGGGCACGAAGCAAAGCCGTCTTTTGTGAGACATGCATGTGCATGTATGTGTGTCTATGTATGTATGCGTGCATGCATGCATGTACATATGTGTTTATAGATATATATATATATATATATGCAGGTATGCAGGTATGCAGGTATATGTAGCTGGCTTGCTTGCTTGCCAGCTAGCTAGGTATGCATGTATGCACGCATGCAAGCATAGATGTCAACCTTTGCATGCATTTCACATCCCACTAACCCAGTCTGCTGATGAACAGAACGCGGCTGACCCAACCAATAACCAAGACTCCCGACAGCTTCCAGAAGTAGCAGCAAGCTTCTGCCCATCTTCCAACTTCAGACACAGCTACCAGCGTGCAGCCAGGACGCCTTCTCGTGGTACGAATATGTCCAGGTCTGCCGTATACGGAATTATATCCTGCAGCATCGTAGCGAGTGGCAGATGGCTGAAACCCGTTGGATTCTGGCTGATTTTTGTCTTCTGCACAAAGCCGTGTGGCATCATCGAGTTGGAGTAAGTTGGGGGGCAGCACCACTTAGAGCGTGAAAGCTATGCCACGGCAGGCCAATAGAGAAAGAACGCAGCAACGAAATCAACCACCAATACACAAGCACAAATGGCTTTGCTACGCGTCGCTCAAGCCGAGCCCATTTTTTCGCTGGGATATGTGATGTTGTTGATCATGGCCTCATCCTAAACAAAGGTCCTCATCTCGAACTGCGCCAAGAAGTGTGCCCTCAGACACCATAAAGGTGACATTTAGCCTCCAAGGAGACATGATGCGGGATCCACGGTCTCTCCCATGTCGAGACCCGAAGGCACATCGAAGGCCTAGTGAGGAAGTTGCTGAAGTCCACCAGCATCTCGAACATAAGGTCCGAGCAGCCTGACTGGCCACAAAGGCTGCGGAGCAGAATCACTGATTTGCTCAGACCGTTCGGGCTCCAGCAGTTGCCGTTCACGCGGCAGGAGCTCTGGTCACGGGAGCCTGGGCAAGCTTAATGGAAGCACGGCCACTGCGGTTGGAGGAGGTACTCAACCACAGGTTGAGAGATCGCTGGCAAACAAGTAGCTCGAAGCTTGGAGACCAGAGAGCGCTGACTACCCCTGGGCCCCCTCAGCGCTCGGCAGGGAGGACTCCTACAAGCCTGGGCACAAGGACTCGGCAAGCGCTCAACTTCGAAATCAAACGTTACGACCCTTATCTCTCTACGGACAGCTTCGGCTTTGCCAATTCTAGGGATCAATGAAGGGCCCACCCACGATGTGACGGATAAAGGAACTCGCACAGGCGAGAATCATGCAACCACATGCACCTCCCCAGCACGGGCGCATGTTCCCAGCATGGGCCCCACAAATAAATCATGCCTATTGAAGGCTTAAGCCTGGCTTGCAAAGGCCTAATAAGGCCCGAGACGCCTTATTCGACTCTCGAGACTGGGACAAGTCTTTGCACGGCGTCTGAGCAAGGAAGCTTCTCCATCCAAATGCTTGCAGGCTGCATACATGCGACATTAAAGCATACCAACCCCTACGATGCCTCATCCAAACCCTTGTGCTAGAAAGCCCAGCTGTTCCTTGAAACTGCTCGGGGCTCGGCATGGCCCTCTGTCCTTTCTTTGTGACCTGGCAGGTTCGGTCTTTTGAGGTGCGGGAACAGCCTTTCGCAAAGAAGCATCCGCTGCGACGCACAGGTTCGGCGTTGACTTCCCGATGAAAACTGAAAGACCCTAACAGAGAGAGGCCCGAAGCATTCCGGATCCATTTAGCCCACAAGCTACTCTTGTCGGCTTTGGTGAGACAGTGAGCACCGGGCCAGTGAGATGCAAGCTCCGGGCTGCAGATTCTGCATTGAGAGTCTCAAGCGCCAGTCTCGATCGCTTCGGCCGTCCCTCGCTCCAGCGTCAAGCCCTTGAAGGGCTCCAGCGGCTGAGGCCTCCATCCGGGCTTCATGAGTTTGGAAAAATGTGCCGAATCCTTTCTTTCAACAGCCTTTACACTGGCCTTCTGATCATAGCCTCGCGCCGCGCGTGGTTCATCTTCGCCACCTCCGACTGGCTGCCACTATGCTTTCCTGTTGCTTGGTTAAGACGTTGTACAGCATCCACAGTACGCTTCGACATTGCGAAATGACAAGCCCGTGAGGCTCTTGCAGTGTGGATCATGACCTTCCTCTCGGTCCTTGATTCGGTGCTTTTCAGCTTTGATACTTTCCACCTCCCTTGCCCTGAACGCACAGATGACGTCTGAGGGCCCATCGAAGTCATCTCGGGCCAACCCTCGAGCCTCGGCGGATTCTGCTGATGTGCCGTCCAACTCGCTCCGTTTGAGGCAACCTCACACTCCGGTTTTCTTCCGCGTGAGCTAGAAGCCACAGCGCGGCATCCCGGTACCAGCGGAGACCGGACTGGAGGGCCCGCCGGTTGTGTTGCCTCATGTGGCTTTCAGCCAGTCTCGGCCCCACGGTTTCCCCCACTCCCGAACTTCTGGAATGCGAATTATACAAGTTTTGCAGCAAAGGCGCCGCATCCCACGCCGCGCGCTGCGAAGGCGCTGAGAGTCAAGGAGAAGCCGGAACAGTTCCGGGAAGGACTCGAAGCGCAAGAGATGCCTTGGGGCGGGAGACATGCATCAGAATGGCTCCTGTACTTGTATTTGTTCGGCTCGAGCGGAGATTCACTGTCATGCATTGGCCGCCTGCGTGCAGGACCGCCTTTCGGAGGACTGATTTGTCAACCACCCAGGTGATGGAAGGAGAGGAGAACTGAAGTGGACAAAATTGTTCCAATCTGCGCAAGGCAAGTGCGGACCGCTATTTGCATTTGTCGACGGTGGCCAAAACCAGGGCTAATGTTCAATTAGGTTTTGGTGCCCTCGGCAGAAGCATTACACAAACGAGAACCTTTAAGTGAGGATCACAATTTGGGGGAAAACTTCCCCGGCAGGCTACAGAATTCGTGACCCTAGGTGCAGGGTGACTGCGGACTTCGGGTTTGTCACGGCGGCATTATGGTGGGAATGTCAAAGTAAAGAAGAAGTGCCAAATTAGGCGGCTTCGGGATGTCGAGAAGGCGTTAGCTGTGCAGAAACAAGTTGGTGGAGAGTCATCAATCTGCCGGTTGACAGCTGCCCCGTGAGACGAGAGGCAGTCATAAGGGAGCCCCATCTCTGGAGTGCATGCACCAATAGAGGTTGCACGCTGCAGTTGCTCCAGGAAGTGCGAACCAAGCCGCAGAGGATGTTTCCCAGTATATCCGACGGTGGTGGAGTGGTAGAGTAGTGGGGCTGGCCCCAAGCTATAAGCAATCAACGAAGGCAGTTACATGAAGGCCTCACCAAAATAGCCATGAACACACGAACACACAGCATCCGGTTGCAGGAGAGATCGCCACCTGATAATACTATCGATCTGGCCCGCTTGGGTGGAGGCAATAGCGCTTCAATCAGATGGCCATTTTGCCCGTCAGTGTTAGTTGTAAGTAGTTAATTAGCGATACAAGATCACACCATGTGTCATATGCAGGTGTTGACTCTGCGACTATGCGAGGCGATGTATCTTGTTGATTGCGGTGCAGGGTGGTCAGCCGTCGGCAGGCACAGCACAAATCAACGCTATATTAACATAGCTGTCGGCTCTACAGAAGTGCGGCAAATTGCGGCCAGGTACGGAAGGCGGCTGCAGTCGGAGTAGGCATACCTGCTACCGTGTGCATGTTGGCTTGCATGCTTCGGCTTCAATAACCTCCTCTCAAATCACTCCTAATAGCGTGGCAGGCAATGGCAACTTGAAAGACACGTTCCTAACCCAACACTCCTGAGATGCAGACGTCAGGTCATGTCTGTAGCCGAGGCACCAATGAAGCACGGTCTCTGGGACGGAGGTCTCTGGGCGCCAGAAGGGCCGCGGATCGGCGGCCCGGAGTCCTCGGCACAGAGCATCGTCCGGTCGCGTTTGCAAACTTGCAGAGGCCCGGCCCCGCGCTGCCTTCCGGAAGGTGCGGAAACTCCAGGGCCCCGAGCTCCTTTCGGCAAGGGGAGCTCTGAGCTTTTCTTCCCGTTCCCCGGCTCAAGCTCAAACGTTAGAGCCCCAGCCGCAGCCTGGAATGTGGTCCATCCGCTGAAATGCTGGATTTTGTAGATCCATGCACTCCTGCTGGGGGATTCACGATTTCTACAAGGAACCGATTGGATCTCAGGTGGGGGGAAGTGCTGCGACACAGATGAAAAACGGCAACAGGCCGTTGCTAACGCACTCCCGCCGTGTAGGGCGTGTGATATCAGGGGAAGGTACTCAAAAATCAGGGGAAGGTACTCAAAAATCCAGGATGGCCGGGGGCAATTCTCAAGTGAAACGAAATGACCCGAGCCCTCGTTCTCTCCTCGGCAGGAGCAGCGCCGGCCCTAAGCTGTAGAGCTCGTAAAAAGCCATCAAGGCAGGGTCCCACGGGAACAGCACCGCCGCCCGGAAGCGGCCCATTTGTCCTTGAAAAGGGCTAGCGGCTTAGCGGCTAGGATGCCCATCCTGCAGACTTTCGTGGACACCTAGGCGGTACTCGCTATGCCTTTCTGATGCATCCGACGATATCTCGCTCAAAGCTGAGCCGTGGTACGCACACTCGATTTAGAGACTGCGACCTCATCCTGGAACACGCCCTGCAGGGCGTTAAAACCCTCCTCGGGTACCGTGTCGAAGAGGAAAACTGCACAGCACTAAATCCCCCTCGCATCACGGGATCACGAAAAGCTTCAAATATGCCAACCTGGAAGAGAAAGCAAGAGACGATGACCGTCTCCCAAAGGTTGGCCACGAACCAAGTCACACTTTGTGACTTATGATGTTGGAACGGGTCTGTACACAAGCCCAACACGACACGCATTTGCATCGTTCACATGCTCGCCGAAGGCCCTCAAAGCCATGGGCACGAGGAGCCTGGAGCAACCTTGTGCATTTCCAAGATGCCTTCAGCATGTCCCTGTGAGTGCAGACGATGTCAGCGTATCGGCTCCCTCTCCACTGCCTCGGCTGCTGGCTGTCTGGCTGGCCGTCAGGCTGGCTGGCTGGCTCTGCTTAACTGGTGTCCATCCGTCAAGATCTCCTGATGTCACAGGAACAGTCCTCCGTTTCTGATCCACCGGACTGGACCAGGTCAGCAAGTCTCCTGATGTTATCGGCACAGTGCGCCTCCTGCATGGGGAACGCCGGCAAGCATTCTCCGCTTCGGCTTGTGCAGGTAGAAAGCTTCTCCCGGCAAACCGAGTCTCGTTACCGGCGATCCTGTCAAACCGAACTGTCTTTATCTCCGCCCCGGTTCCAGCGCTGGCTCCACACCCCATCGCCAAGCAACTACGACAGAGAGCTGGTCTCTCGCTTTGGCTGTGAATGACGCCCGGGAAGAGCACTTTTGCAAACCGTGCCAAACTGCACAACACTTGTCTCTGCTCAGAGATTTTACGACCGAATCACAGCTACATCCGCGTGCTGGGACTGCTAAGGCTGGCAAGGGTCTGAACGGAACAAAATCGTCGCCGCTGCGCACAACGCGCAGTGCCAGAGGCAGCTGCGACCCGCATGCATCAACGTGCGCCTCATTGAAAAATCGGAATTTGTCTAACTGTGCCCTGCAGCAAAATCCATGGCCACACGCCTCCAGGACGGGAAGAAACAGCGAAAGACGGAAGTAGCCTTGGCTGCGGACACAGACGAGCCAGCAGGAACCAGAGACGAAGCCCCAGCTAGAAATGCCCAGCTGAGATGCTGCTGCGGAAAAACAGCACCTGGCGCCGGAATGCTTTGCCCGGCGAGGTGCCATACAGCTTGGAAGATCTCTGCCTCGTTTGGCATTCGTGACCATAGAAGCGTATGAACGGAACTTCCCCGAAGCGCTTGCGAAGAATCCGCCTGTTGACCCTCCGTCTCTGCTTTTTTGGACACAATCGAGGTTTTGGAAAGTCCTATACGGCTACGGCAAGTCCTGCCCATCAAAGGTCGCGCGGATCCCTGAACTCCTGAACATCACTGAACCGCTGCCTTTGCAGCACGCAAAGGGGCAAATATCCAGCGAGGCTCACATACAGAGCCCTTGGCCGCACCACTTCGAGCTGCATTCCAGTGGCATACCTGCGCAGTGAATTTGACGAGACGGTTGGAGTGCAAAGTGTTGTTGAACTGACGAGTAGCAAAGGTCTCTGCACTGTGGGGGGTGGTAATACGGAACCGAAAACTAATCAGTTGGCGCACCGGATCTGCTCTCTTAGCGCGAAGTTGTGGGCGGCCCAAACATTGCTCTCTTTGTCTCCTGGCAGAGCAGCAGCTGACAAAACCTTCTTCCATCTTCTTCCGACAACCTGCAAGATGGTCATGCTGCAGCCCGACCCAGTCTTTGCATGGAAAAGATGCTTTTGAAGCCACTGCTGACCCTGCCGTTCTGTACCCCGTGTTGTTTCTCTTGTCGAACATGATGGTCCAAACCAGCCGAGCATTTCGACGGTAGGGGAGATGCTGCCTAGATTCTGACCATGGCTTGAAAGTGCATCAGCCACAGCTGGTCTGCCTGCCTGTCAGCACCATTCGCAACAGTTCTTTCGCTCCAGCAAGTGCTGCTTCCTCCCTTGCAAATTATTTCAAGCGCAGGGTCTTCGTGGAAAAGTAAATACATCGACACAAACAAGCACCGCTTCAAGAAAGACTTTGACTGCGTGGGATAGAAAGTGCGTCTTGATAATGCTTTCTGCGTTTACTTTGTTGTCTGGTGTAGCTGTACCCTGGGGACGGAAACAGGAGCTATGTAGCGACAAGCAGGCAAGAGAAGGTCGCCATTGGATTGAGTTTCATTCGCAGCTAGCCGTCTGCCGACGTTTCTTGTTGCATGTGTCCAGCACATTTCCAGGCCCGACACACGTCATCCTCTCACGAAGGCTAGATGATCCAAAACCAATCCGCTTCGTTGGTGTCGGGGGTTTCCGTGCTTAGCCAGCATGGATTCCGACCTAGAGGCGTTCAGTCATGACCCGCAGATGATCGAATCGAGGTATTTGGTTTTCAGCCAGCCACATTAAGCAAGCATCTGAACGAAGTCCGCTAGCTGAATATTTCTCAGACCTGAAGGATCGATAGGCCATGTTTAAACAGGTTGTATTCGTACTGAAAATCAAAATCAAGCCATCTGTTTCTTTATCACACAACAGCCGTTTCCTCGTGCTGAAACGGATTGGCAGCGATACGGCATTAACGAAATCTGCTTCCGTTGTACTCCAAGCAACGATTTCAATCGGGCAGGGTACCATACGTAAGTCCAATGTGATACAACGGGTGGCAACCCTCGGATAAGACTGATAACTTTTTCAAGCGGGTCGAGGCTTGCGGTTTGGCGTTGTTTGGGGGTGGGTTTGAGGCTTGTCCCACTGCATCGGCCAGCGAAAGCATCAGCAACACGCTGTCCCGGAGCATCACAGCAAGGCCAGTTGTGCCGAGAACCTGCACCTAATGAGCGACAGCCGACGGAAGCCCGGGGCTTGGTAGCCTTGCTCCGTCCCAGCAAATGTGTGGAACTGCGACTCTGCCGGCCTGTCCACGTTAACGTGCAGCTGCATCCCCAGGTATGCCAGCAGAGGTTTCTCCACAACTGCACGTAGCAAGCTACACCTGCACTTGGCACGAAACAGGCGCAGGCCGCGCAAGCCTCAATCCCTTCAACATCGGACCCAGAAACACAAAGTTTTGCTGTTGTGAGAAGCAAGCTGCACCAATGGTGCTGTGCAGACATACATCTCTGCCGCACGGAGATCCGAGTCTAGCCGATGCATCTCCTCTAAGACAGTGAGGTAGTCAGCCACCTGCATATCATCTTGTCAACTTCCTACCCTACCCCTCCCGTGCAGAGCTAGTTAGATGGTTGGCATCAAATTTGTGGCGAACGTGCAACCGAGACATAATCTGATGACCCACCTGGTAGTATCTCCGCCGTTCGTGGATAGCCTCCTCGAACATGTGCACCAGGTCCACCCACAGCTGACTACTACCTCTTGCTTGACAACTTTGCTCGTGAGGTTGTTTTGGGGTTAGGGTTCAGACAGCACCTGAAGCCTGCGGCAAGCCTCGCATGGCAAGTAACCGGCAAAGGCAAGTGCCAGCGCAGAAGTCAAAGCGAATGACAAGAAACTGCGTACAGTTTGCTCTCGGTATACAAAGTGCAATACAAAAAGCAATTCGCTCCAGTCATTATATGTCAGTTACTCGTGGGCAGGCCCACGGCCCAAGGGCTTTCAGAATCAGAGCGCCCTGTTCTGCATCGCTGCCTTCCGATCCGGGCTCGCAGCTGCCCAGCGCTTGGCACTGCAAGGCACAATGGTGGGACCAGGCCTCACAGCTTCCACAGGTTCTTCACGAACAACGTCTCACACCATCGCGGCCCAAGGGCGGCATTCCCCCGCGGGCAGTCTCGCATGAAGATCCTCAGATTATCACCGAAGCGGTTTGGAACAGATGCATGGTGACACGATACGGCGCAGCAACATGCCGACAGCGTGCTGCAACAAACGGGATGAAAGTGAATAAGGGCTTCTTGTTTCGAGCATTCCAGCCCAGAACTCACTTCCCGTGAAGCCGAAGGGCTGGCTGCAAATAAATGTTGAAAACAAACTTGACAACAACAAAGGCCAGTTCAAAAACCATCAGAACTCAAGAAACAAAACGAATTAAGAACACTCTGACCCTGGCAGCAACCAACCCTTCTGCACGGACTTGTATACAGCAACCAACCCTAAACCCTAAAAATCCTGAACCCTGAATCCTGCAAGCGGTTTTCTACTCCCTTCTCCGGAACTTGTCTTGCTGAACCTCCCGAAATTGATTTTGGAACGACGTTACTCTCCGACCCAAGGAGCTGCACTCGGGTGTCCCAAGGGCGCAGCGCCGCTTTCAGCATGGTCGCTGGCTCCAGAACCTCGTTTGACAAACTTGCTGCCAGACTTCGGAGCACCGGGTAAGAAACGCACACACCTGGAAACTGCGCTGATGCTGATCCGTTGCTGGCTTTTAGTTGCAACTTTCGAGGCTCCAGGCAAGATGCCAAAGTGGAGTGCACGCCGAAGACAGCAAGCCCCAGGAGGTCCCGCTTCTGCCTCCAGCCTCGCTCGGAATGCTGTCGCTGGATGCTCGAAAAAGACGCAACGGCCCAGCCGCCCAGCCTCGGCTGGAATCCAGGCGGCGCCAAGACGCCTGCACGGCTGCGAGCCAGAGCTGGGCATCCCACCTACACTTGTCCGTCGTCGTCCGACGTCGTCGGCAGCTTCGCTGGAGTGTCGTCCCCTTCCGACAGTGGCGATGGACCTGGTGTTGTCGCTGCTGGTCGTTGTGATGATTGTGGTGGTGCCGGCACTGATGGTGGTACCATGTCGATGTCGTCGTCGTCACGTCATCTGCGCAGTACAAGTAGCAGTAGCAGTTGGAGCAGGGCGAGGAGGAGGAGGAGGAGTAGCTGTGGTCGTGGGAGTGGTACTGGAGCCAGTAGTAATACTGGTTGTTGTCGTCATCGCTGTGGTGCTTGGGGTGCTGGCAGGAATAATATTCAGATGCCACCGGGCAGCGATCCCTAGGTCGCCTGGCCGGCACTCGGAGAGTCAAAGATCTAATGCCGACCACGCCGCCATAAAAATCATAAAAGTAATCACAAAAATTTCCAGCCCTACACAATCAAGCTCAGATGCCGTAACAAACCTGTAAAGCGCAAGCTCCAGGGTCCTCAACCTCAGCCCCGGAGCGTCAGGCCATGTCCCTCAGCGCCTTCGTGCGGGTCACTGCCCTGGGCTTCAGCTCCTGGGCTTTCGTTTCCTTTGTGGAGGGCATTTGGTGATGTCGACGAGACGCCATTGAAGCGCAGCAAGGAATGGAAGTATATTCGCATTAGTGAGTTCAGGGAAGGGAATGTTGCTTTTGCAGGCTGCTCCGCTCATCAACCAACTACTTACTTATCCTGCGTGATACATCCATCGGGCTGTTGAAATCTCTCAGTGCGCAGGTCAAGACATCAGAGTAAGCTCTGGCTGCCAAAGTTGCCTTGCCTGGAGGCCGGTGAAGGGCGACGTGCGGAAAGACGCAGGCCGAGTACTCTGCGTGCCTGACAGCGAAGCTTTGCAAAATCCCTGAGCTCCATTCTTGGGCATGTCATTGCGAGGCACCATCTGCACCAACCGAACCTGAAATCCTGAAACTCTTAACTGGGGATCTCCAGTTTTCATGCGAAGGCCAACACAGACCAGATGCCCATGTCCAGGTCAAGCCAACTCTGCAGCGCATCCCGGTTGACTCGCAAGTCCTAGGAGGTAGGACGGCTCATAGGATCTCAGAAGGCGATGGCGGCGATGGCCCTGCTTCCATGGCTTATGATGGCATCGCCTGACGCACCTCCTGAATTCTTCAGCGTGGCGAAACCTCGAAAGAACCTCCCAGCTGTTCTGAGCGAAAGCGTCCAAGGCCCCGAACGGCCACGAGCTCGCCTCGCCTCGAAGCTGAGATTCGAAGCTAGGACAAGGCTCTGTAAGTCTGCTCCCACTGAAAACAACTCTCGTGATTGCCTAGCCCGGTGGCGAATGAAGTCCAGGTGAAGGCGTCCTCCCAAGATCGAAAGGCCATCCTGCTGTCATGCCAAATAGGCCACGACAAAATACTGACAAAATTGCATGAAACGCAGCAAACCCTTGGAAAGAGACTGCTGCCTGCAGTCCGGTCAAAGCCTCTGCGTGATTCCCCAAGCGCTCGGAGAGAAACCTTCGAAGGAAGCAACGCATGTCCTTCCCCGGTGCTTTTTGATCGTCAGTGGCTGGCGACAAAGCAGGCGATATCGGAACCAAACGGGCTGAAGCTGCAATCCCTCCAGCCTAAGTTCAGAACCCACACCTTTGTCGCAGAAGCAAAGTCCATGCTATTGCCCAGCTGGGAGCATGCTTCAACTCAGCACATCCGAAAGACTTAGAGGCCGCAACAGTGAAAATACAAACGCTGTAAGGTCTAAAAACCAGCTACCGCCCTGACGTCCAAAACACCCCAATAGATCCCAGCCGTGCAGACTGGACGAGTGAAACCCTAAAACTATCCAAAAGCTGAACCCAAGTGTCTCACGCCGAGACCCGTCGACGAGAAAAATACGACTTTCACGAATCGCTACTGATTGCAAACAAAGAACTGGTAAGCCCCAATGCTTTTCAGTTGCTAAAGTTGTGGAACTGAGGTATCCATGCGTGCTGCCGTTCCTGCTGTTATCTCAAGCCCAACCCGACGTCCCGACTTTCGACCCAATCGGCCAGCTATAGGCAACTCAGCTCAAAATGCTGGGTCGCTGTGCTACAAAGAACAAACTTCCACAACACGAAAGCTAAAGAAGATGTCTGGCAAGGGGGGCGGCCGAGCGTCCAATCTAAACTCAACGAAGAACCCCGCGACTAAATAGAAAGGGCGGGTGACTTGATGAATCAATGAAAGCTGCGAGACTGTACCGACATCGGAAATGCTGAAAATGGAACAGGATGGGCGCGGAAGGGCATAGATGAAGCTGACACAAGCAGCGCACTCTTCAAGGGTGCACATCAATGGTCTTCTGATTGGGGAGCAGTTCAAACGAGCAGCTGCGACCGAATGAAGATGGCGGTCACCAAACCATAGAAGCCTCAGCCCAAGGCCAGCAGTTCTTCGCAGCGGAAGCTGCCGAACAAAGACTCGAATGCAAAAGTTCGTTCAAAACATGCCTAGCAGGCCCAAACAACAAACGCGGGCAAGACCTCTGATGCTGCGTTGAGCCACTGCGAGCTCGACTGTGGAGGACTCTCCAGAAACTGTAAAGATGTTTAGCAAGAACGATCCTCCACTCACATCCCTAATGAAACAACGACTCATTCGGGCGAAGGCGACCGTTACAGTTGCAGTGCTTAGGATCCGGTTTGGGGAAGTGATCGACAGGGACCACCCAGTGACCGCCCCGACGGGACATGTCGAGACAATGCTTCGTATGAGCGGCACGATTTCGCCCCTTACCGCTTCCTGGAAGGGGCCTTCCAGGCTATTGTTTGTCGACTGGCAGCCAGGATGCACAGGCCCCTCAGGCTGGAAGGAGGCTGCAGGCGCTTCATCACCTAAGCAACGTAATAACGTAAGATTCTAAGTCTAAGCTTGCGAGCACGAGAACCTTTCGCCTTCCCTCTACTCGCCGCTACAGGCACAAGGTCGAAGGTGATCGGCGCCGTAGAGAGCTCCTTCCACCAGGAGCCTACCAGGAAAGTGCTCAAGTCCTCGGTCGAGCGACAGACCGCCCTACTCTTGATCACAGAACACAAGACATCCCAGTCTTGTGCGGGGTGCAACTTAATTAAGTCCGCAACTGCAACAAGTCTCCGGGGCGTTTGCGTGGCTTGGGTTTCGCATCGAGCAATGTGTGCCGTGCGAAGTGGGGCTGCGCTAGGTGATATGCCAATGCATCTTGAGTCTCAAAGGCCTTCTGCGCCGAGCCGCTGCCTGGACAGCGATGTGCACACATAAGCCACATCAACCGCGACTACACAAACGAAAGCTGCGCAAAGGACGATGGAACTTGGTCACGAAACTGGCAAGGCCACACTTGCACAGCAATGCACACAGTTCCCCGACTTTCGACTAGTCGCCGACATAAACTCACATCAGCAGCCTAGGAAGGGGCTGCTCCAAAGTAACACAGGGCAAGAGATGCGGTCGTGGGTCGTGGGGGAGTCCTGTCCCTGTCCGATCCCACGCATGCCGCTTTCGAGGCAGACTTCCGGCACGCACGGCATGGAAGCGCTGCAGCTATACATTGAAGCATCTTGACTTATTACTCCATTTCCTGAGGTATAGAGGCGGTCGTGCTACTCACTCCGAGCTCAGAAGCTCTCTCACATCCGGAAGTAGCTTGCCAGCGGTCTTCTCTGCATAGGCGCCTCAAACAGCTACATGCAGCAAAACTCCACAAACGGGAGCCTGCATGCTGCTCAGATGCCGTAGCTTGGGTCGCTTTCGTTCAGGTTCTCCTCCTCCACTGTGGCCTTTTGGTCGAGAACAAAGTACAGGGCCGCTGTGAGAATCAGGCGGTTGGCACCTTAAGGGCACATCACGGCACTTCAGCGACTGTCCGTCACATTGCTCATTGCTGCAACTTGTTGCACAGGGCACTGTTGGTGACAACCGCAATCCCGAGGCAGAGTAAAACCAATCCTCCATAGATTGGATGCCGCACATACTCATAGATGCCGTCCGTCCTCAGTGTCGACCTCGGGCACTGACAGGGAGTAACAGCTTCTTCTAGCACATCATCTGCTCGCGCATGGAACAAAAAGACGAACTCACACATTCCAGCAAGCCCAGGCCGCTGGCCCGGCGGGCTTGACTATCCAAGGGGAGAGGTCGCCTCGGAAAGCTTCATGTGACGAGGAGAGTGCCGCCGTCGCACTGGATGCATGGCACCGATTTGCGATCTTTCATTTCACAGGCGATACGCCTCCGAATGCCTCCGACAAACCCTCCAAGACAGAGAGTCAGAAGACATGAGCTTAATGCAACAAGATTTTCTGTCGTGGCAGCCCAAGCCCAAACCCTGAGCCAACACAGTCGCCCTGGAGCTGGTAGACGGAGGCCACGATCATACCGCCTCTCGAATATCTTGATGAATGGCAGGATGCCAGCAATCATTCCTAGCTGATACCGCCTCCCACGGCCATGGACAGGGGCCCTGCCAAGAAGTAGAGTGAGGAGCTGATCAATGGCACCTGGACACATTGCTTAACACTTTTCGATTATGCATGGGGACTCAAGTCTGCTGTTCCGGAGCTTTCGATTGCCTGGTCTGGCGCATCGCACGACTCCTCTATAGAGCCCGCATGGTGCAACAGAGACTGCTGCCGCTAACCACCCGAGTAGTGACAAGTGCTTCGCGTGCACTTCCCCACGAAAAGTTTGTCCGGTAACGATTCGGCAATGGCCAGAGAAAGGGGCTGTTAGCAACAATCCATCTGCCACAGCCTGAGCCCGCAGATTGAACTTAGCGCTTGCCGATGACTTGCCCAGTGTGGTGGGCGACTAGCTGCCACCGACTGCCACCGACGTTCGATGTGCGGATGCAAAGCCGACACGCTGGCCTCACTTAAAACCCGGTTCGTCCGGGTTATGTGGGAAACTGGTTGCAGCCGGGCCCTCTACGACTGCAAGGGAGACATCTCAAGCATCTCAGTCCTCATTATTATTTCCTTAACAAGAACCGGCCAATCTCAGCAGGAGACTGTGCCGACCAGGATGCACAGCAACAGAAAGAGCTGCGATGCCACATAGACCTGCTGGCTTAACCCCTGTTGGAAACACGCACTGAGTGTAGTGAGTAGAAGCTGAAAGCATCACGACCACACTTGGCCTCACCGCGCTTGCCGACTTCGCCCTCCATGATGTTCTTTTTGATCTTCCTTGATCGAAGCGCAGGGGTGAACGAGCTTAACTGACAGCCTTGCACTTTCCTGCTCAGAGCTGAGAGCTGCCAAACCTCACTCGCCCGAGCTGCTCCAGGCTCCCTTCGAAGCCGTCCGTGGCTCGCAGAGGAACCTGGAAGCTCCCTTGGGTCCGCTTCGCTTGTGGATTCGGGCAAAATACCAAGCTCAAACGCAGGCCTACTCCCCAAACCTCTCGCCATGAACCCTAAATCATAACAACCGCAGAACCTCAAGCTTGAACCCCTTTCGCTGGCACGAACACCCTAAACCAGAACCTCACCCTTATCCATATCGCAACTGAATCCCGACCACCCTAACCTCGCAAACCCTCGCGTGATTCAGTGATTCTAAACTGAGCCAACTTGGTAACCGCAAACTCCTGCTACACCTACAGCAAGTGCTAACTGAACCCACCCTACCCGAACCTAACCTAAGCTACCCTGAAACCAAACGTAACCCGACCTGAGCTTTAAACCACCCCTAACCTAAGTTGATAAAATGAGCGAGCGTATCCCCAACCCAAATTCTAACCTACTCAAACTCACCTAAGCCCGAACGCGATCTAACCTAACCAAACCTAGCCTAAACCCCAACAAAGCTAACCTACCCTGACCCTAAACCCTAAACCTTACCCTGACACGTCGTCAAACAGCACCTAACAAAAAAACTGTCTAACATGAACCCTGACCGCTAACCTTACGGCCTCACCTACCCCAGCTTGACCCAACCTAATCTACACTAAACTCCCTAAACCCTAACCTAACACACGCGTCTGCTGCCTTTAAACTCTAACATTTCAGCACGCGCTTGGATTGTGACCCAGCGAGCACTCCTCAACGGAAAACCAAACCCTTTTTAAACGAGGTCTCTCTGAAGTGCCTCCATCAATCTCTCTAGCTTTGCAAGAGAGGCAAAGGCAAACATGTCTAATTCCCATACCATTTTTTGCACAGCCCATGGGAACTACCTTAACCCTAAACTAACCTTCCCTAAGCCCTCACCTGACCTAACTTTTGCTTGCCTGCAAACGGTAAGCTAACCCAAACCACTCTAAACCCAAACCTGGCCCCACCTGCCCGAAAATCAAACCCAGCCTACCGTAGCTTTCCTAACCTACCCCCAAACCCTAATCTAACATGCCCTCAACCCTCTGTCCTAAAGTCTGTCAGGACCTACACTAATAACCCTCCTAACACCTAACCCAACTTAAACTCCTCGCCTAGCCTGACCCAAGCTTCACCTGACCTGACATGAACCGTAATCAAACCTACCCTACTACCCGGCCTAGCCAAACCTGAACTAACCCAATCTTCCGAAACCCCAAACCCTGACCTGACTTGGCCCAACCTAACCCCTACATCCCAACGAAAGCGATCCTAAACCACAACACCATGATCTAATCACAACAACAGTTTGGCCCGAGCGCCGACATTTGAGAACCGATGGCAATAACTTATACGTGAGGACAGTCAGTTCAGTCGCATGTGTCTTACGTTGCCAGCTGCAAGGAAAGACGACGGGACGCGGAGTTAGGCGTATAATGCAAAGACTAAGACACCCCACTGCTGCTGTCAAATGTAGCAGCACCGGCAGCAGCAGCAGCCTTCGGCAATCGCATTCCATCAAGCAGAACCCTAAGCCCAAGCTGCTATGGCTGAGGTGATTGAGAAGAACGGGAAGGCTTCTTTCTCGGGCTGAACTCTGGGTCTGAGGCCGAGAAGCCAGGCTCACCCGATTGCTTCTCTGAGCCTTGGCAGGAAGGTTAGGACTCCACATGTAGAGGGTCCCTCGCGGACAAGCAAGGGGGGGAAGCACAGAACTATGTAAATGGTGGCTCCATTGGCAGGTATTCTTGCCTCCTGCCTGGCTGAGCGAGTCACGAAGCAGGGTTGCAGTACAGTAGCATACTTGCAAAATCTTGTAAATTCTTCCTATCCCCACAACGAAACTTGTCGCTGCAGGAAGATCGTTGAAGATCCCACGACCTACGTGGTGTGAGCTTGAAGCAAGCCGTCACTGTGACTCGAAATGAGTCGTCTACTCCATGGCACGTATCACGAGACTTTCCGTGCAAAGCACCCCCGGAACTGCAGAAAATATGTCATGAAGCATATGGCATGGAAGTGAAGTCCTCCAGCTAGAATAGAAGCCCGCCAACGCTTTACTCCATCTTGGAGGCAGTCTTTGGAGTACAAGGAGCAGCCCAAAGACCAACTGGGGCCGGACACTGACCTCCTATGCCGTCAGGACCGCAATTTGGGGCTGTGACCGTGAGCCGCGACGACATCCTGCCTGCCGGCATGCAACTACATCCACGACGAAAGACACTCCAACAGTTTACCTGAAGAACCCATGTTTGTTCCGTTTTCTTGCAGGACCTCGAATCGAAGTTGGTGCCGCGTGGCCGGCAGGCTGTAGCTCTTCGGGCTTCTGGCTTTTGCAACGGGTTGGCCGAGATCCTGCCCTCCGCGGATGCAAATCTAACGCAGATTTGCCCCAGACTACGTGCCTGGGAGGCTTCCACATTCAAGCTCTGCTTACTTAAGTTGTTTTCAACTGCTACAAGAACCCTACAAGTCAAGAAGCCAAAGATCGAGAGGCCGAAGACACCAGGTTCAAAGTTTCTAAGACCTGCTGAGCTAGACAGCCCGAAGTAGAGAGCTGAAAAAGACCGAAACGTACTACGAAAGGCTCCCCCAACGGCGAGACCTGCAAAGAGCTGACTGCGGCATTTGCCCGCAACCCGCAACGAACCCCCCGCCTCCGCATGCGACAAAGGTTTGCAAGGCCAGGCTACCCACGACGGCCAACAGCAAGGCCAATGAAACGCAGCGGGCCCGGCGAAGGTTACGTGCAGCCATGGCGTTGAAGCTTGCAAACCCTTGCTCAACTTGATCAGATCTCCTGAAGCCCAGCGCCTGTGCGAGAAACAAACCCTTTTTGGATGAGATGCCGTAGTCATCTTGCCCTGATCCCGTGGTCCGACAGCTGCAGAGAAGAAACGTCTCAGAGTCTGAGAAGTGCAAATGGTCAACAGCTGACCACGTGAGCAACACGTCCCTCTGCCTTCCTCGCGCCAGCGCAAGCCTGCCTGCCGTGTGAGATTTGGCTTTTTGTCTGGTAAAGCAGCACTTCGACAGGATGACATCGCTCCAAGGCAGGGTAAAGAACCACTCACAACGCAAGTTTGAAGCAACAACCTGTTTTCGGCTTCGCTCCATCGCAAGTCTGACTTTGCAGCTACTCCACGGAGCAGGCTAGCTGTGGTTCTTCATTGGGACTTCGCCTCTTCCATTGGTCGCAACAGGTACGGCACACACAGCCCATGCGGGTTGTACCCCGTGGGGTTCGTGTGAGTGAGAATGCCGTTCAGCACGGGTAGCTGGAAGATAAGAAACGGAAAGGACAACAAACCGTACACGATACGTCCGAAGAAAAACCGCGAACGAAATTGCCAGTTTTGCAGGTCGGACAGCAAAAGGTCTTTGTTTATGGCCACCTGTTCCAGTTGCACCGTCGCCTCCTTAGAAACATCCAGAACTGTGAGGACGTAGATCAAGGCGCAGCTCAAGACAAAAGTAAACAGGTCATAGCCAAGCAAGCCAGCGAGCCGGCCACCTCGAGACCTGTCATACAGGCAGCACCGCTCTTCGGACCCGGACTGCTCCTCTTCCTTCACGTCACTCTGAGCGGTAATCTCGCGTGCCCCCGCGAAGCTGCGTGTGCACGGGAGCAGGAGGAAGGCCAACCAAACCAGAGCGCAGCTGCCGACGAAGTCCACCGAGCTCGTGACCAAACCCTGTGAGACACCAGGGCCCTCCGTGTCGCAGGTATGTGTCCCACCCGGCTTCACACACATGTAGTATTCAAAGGCCGCCAAGCAGGCCATAAAAACACCGCTGGACAAGAATTGAGCACCTTTGAACATCAGGATGAAGCAAACTGTCTGGTACTCATCCGGCGGTGCACCGGCCACTATGCACACCAGGACCAAGGCGAAGAAAGCCACCCGGATTCCATACATGGGTGTCACGCTTATCGCTGTCAGAATCCAAAAAAGTGGGTCCTTGATCTGTCCAAAGATCGAGCTGTCAAAGGGCAGGTAGTGATACAGCAGCTTTGCACGGAACCAAGAACAGCTCAGACAGGTTGGGCGAAGCCCCAAAGATTTCAAAGCAGAGTGATCGGCTCCTCTTTTCAGCATCTGGTCCTTTGCATCACCTACCACAGACTCTACGTAAACGGTCAGGTCATCCCAGAAGAGATCGATAACACTCTCCAAGCGCCAACGAGCACAATTCCACATGTCGGGATCTGACAGAGCCGCGTCCTTGATGGTCTCACGCAAAGCAAGCATCACCCTGGCTCGGATCGGTCTCGAAAGGCTCACCAGGCGCTCAAGCGCTTCGCTTTTGGCACCACGCAAAAGTGCACCATGCCGGCCATAGCCTGCCTCCCTCAAAGCCTTCAGGTCCACACGGTCGGTAAAGAAATCTGCAAGATAGGTACGCAGCTCTTCGTAGTGGTGTGCCTCATACGCCTGCGCTGCTCGAGTGAGCGCGCTGTTGGTCCGATCCCTCACTCCTCCAACAGCTGCGGCCACACCCGCTGCTGCCGATGAGGCGGCAGAGGCGCCTTTTGATGTCACATGGCCGAGAAGCTCCATTCTAAACAGGATTGCATGAAATGAACCGAATGAAGGAATGGAGCAGTGCGTCTGTCTGTCTGTCTGTATTACATGGCCTCGCACTACACGGCACACCTGGCTACACTAAGGCAAGCAGGGCGTGCCACTGAGATCCAAGGATCGCGTTGAGATGCCCCAATGCAAGGCACGAGACTTCTCCGAACCCCTCAACCGAGCCTCCCGATGCGCTCTGCTCACCAAGCGCAGTTCTGTCCAGCGCGGATCAAACTCCGAGCCAGAACACTCCAAGTGTGACAACGCCTTCCACGTGCTTACAAACAGCTGGAGTCTTCAAGCAAATGACTTGGATTGTCCCGCCTCCTGGCAAGCGGTTCTAGCTGAGGCACCAAAACTCGCATTGTCTTGGTACAGCACATGAAACAATTCGATTTGCCCAATGGCACTGTCCGTGCTGCAGCTCTGGCAGATTGCTGCACTCCGAAAAGACCCGAAAAACATCTCAGCATCGCACTGAGCAGCATCAGCGCTTGCTGCCACAATGCATAATTGGTATCACGGCACTAAGGACGGGTGGCAAAAGAAGCGGCATGACACATGTGCTTGCCGCTTGCCCTCACACATAGGTCAGCACACGTGCAAGGCTTTCATAAGCGTGGCCAGTGAAGCATATGACATTCTATGAGGCTGCGTTGTGCTGATTCTCGGACCCTCTTGTTGCTTCATATCTGGGAGCCAAACAGACAGCCCTCGTCTCGCAGAAAACTATGGCTATGGCGCACTGCCGCCTTCGGCCGACAGTCCGCTGCTGAGCTGCCGGCGACGCCTCGCTGCCGTCCCAGGCAAGGACCTTGGGGCCGAAGGGGCCCAGCCTGCCAGGCAACCGAGACTCGGCGGACTCGGGGCCTGGGACGAGCTGGGGCCCGAACTCCACAACCTCCAAAGTACCATCACCTCACACGCACAGACACAGACACACACACACACGGACAGACGCATGCGCATCTGTCCCACCACAAGACGAAAACAAACTCTGCAAGAGATTGTCTAAGAGCGCCGCGAAGCTCAACCGTCACCTGCAAAGCCGAAGCACGAGGACAAGCTTGGCGGCGGCATCTTCGTATGCATCGCCCGATGCGTGGAAAGGTGCTGCTCTCAGGTCACGGCTGACTCCATGACTTGCAAAGCATCTGCTTCTCGAACCTGATCGCACTTACGCTGAACAAGGCCAAAATGCGAGACCAGAAGTCTTCATGAAACATCATCAAGGAGTACGGTCTTCAGCTACTCAGTCTGAACAACCCTTCCCTGTCAGGAAGCGCAGAATATCTGCAGAGAAAGAAAGAATCAGTGTCTGGATAGATTTGACCGGCTGCTCCACAGCTCGGGTCACGGCCCCTTCTGGAAGCATGGACACAGGAAACCTGAAAGACTGCAAGAGCTGGCCGACATCTTCAGGTGTAGCTCGCTATTCTGGCTCCCTGGCTCTCGCAACTCACCTGGTTGTGACTGTTCTGACGGTGAACTGGTGCAGTCTGTCATGCTCTGCAACAGGAAGCTCAGCACCTTCCACTTTCCAAACACATGGGCTATCGAACCGTTTCGATTTGGTTTGCAATCCATCTGAGGCACATATACCCACCCTCACCCGACGCTTTGTGCGGCTTCCGCCTCACACCTTGAGAATTGTTTGCATGATTTTCTGAGATGCAGCGGAAAGGATTCAGCCCGGCAAAAGTCGTGGGGCTTCGGAAGGGCTTGAAGGCGAACCTTTCATGCTACCCCAACTCACAGGCCTTCTGTACAGAGCCTGCATCGCTTGGCCATGAACTTGCGTGATGATCTTTACATCTTTGGGAACGGGGGAGGGGCCGTTCAAGTTACATTCACAGGCAGTGGAGTAGGTTCGACAGACAAGTTTGTGTTTGTGGGAGTTGGCACACTGCCAGCAGGAGCCAACTGCTGGCAGTTGTTCCAGCGGTAAATCGGTCGCTGCTAAACGATCGTGGCATACCCCAGTCTTTGCAAGTTCCGGGCTGTTTGGCTGAGCTCGCGCTCCAGCGGCTTTCGCCAACCTCATTCCAAAAGTTCTGCGCTCAGAGATCTGGTTGCAGGCATGAACAAACAGACATGCAAGCCTAGGGCCGCGGCGTAAAGACCAGGCTTCCACAGCCCCTGCCCAAAGCTTGCTTTACCTCGTAGTAGCACCACAAAAACACCCAAGTCGGGGCAAGTTCCGCGAGCCGAAGACGAGATCAAACCGACAGTGCCAAAACCCTCATGAGCTTCGGCCCCGATGTACTCAACTGCGAGCCTAACACGAGGTTTCATGACATCCTGCTCAGTGACATGCTCAAGCTGCTACAGTACCTTCTACAGGGATGCGGCCATGCTGCTAGCGAGGACGCAGCCATTGTTTCGCCCCATTGCGGAAAGCACCAGGGACGAAAGCTGTGTGACAAAAGTGTTGCTGTCTCGCCATGGTACTCGTCTGCCGATCTCAAGTGCATAGCACAACACATGCATCTCAGCGTTTAATTGAGCACAGATGTAGAGGAGGCCTGAGGCCTGCTCCTGCACGGGAGAACTAAGTGCTGTCGGGGTTTCAACACGTGGCGGGGCCCGACCTGCCGAGCGCTGCGGCGGCTTCATCAGCGATCTCAGAGCCACAGGGACACAGCTTTGCCAAAAACCAATCCTTGTTGATGCCCGTTTTTGCTCTGATCTTCTGATCTTCTGATCTGAGCTGTGGGCGAGAACCGGTCATCGGTCTGATGCGAGAGGCGTTCTACCGCCTGCCACGGGCGGGGCTTCATTTGGGACGCAGCGCTTCGCCTTCTTTCGTTGAGCTATAGCAGCGCGGAACCGATGCCGAGTATGGAGCTCACCGATTGACTTACCATATCGCAAAAAACTTCGCTATTTGTCGATGCCAGGCCTCCCTCAAGGATTTGATCTGCCCCTCCCACTCAGGAGTCGTAGTGGTGGAGTAATAGCTCCAGCCGTTGTCCTTTCGCGGCTGTCAAAACCAAGCAGACGTCCTTCATGCCCAAACATCTGAGACTTCGCCAGCTGAAGCCACACAAGCGGATGACGATACTTCCCATCGATTGTCGAGTGGTCCCCGTCCTGGGCCGCTGCAGCCTGCCGGGCCGAGATAAGCACCGGAATGCGCTGTTCCCTTGGTCATGCCTAAAGACAACGAGCTGAAACGGAAACCACCCCGCCCCGGAAACTCTTTTGCTTTGCTTGGGGTTTGAGTCGGGGGCAGGCCGGAAGCTCTCTTCCTTCCTTCTGCATGGGAACGGTCTGCGAGCAGCCCCGGGGCTAGGCCCCCCCGTTCCTACCTCGTTGGTGGAATGAGACCTTGGATCTCTTTCTTTCGCCAGGCTGTCTGTCTCTCTCTCTCTCTCTCTACCAGGCTGTCTCTCTCTCCTCCTCCCTCAAAGACCTTGCGCGCATGCCCTCCCTGGTCCCTGCAGTTCGCGCGGTTGATCTACGAGGAGCTGCATGCACCGAAACGTGTCAAGACTGCACCGATTGAGGTAACTGTCCCTCTTTCTGATGCAACAGCAGGCCACTGGTGTGCAAGCCCCCAAGCCGGCCGCACCGTCCAGATCTGGTAAGAAGTGAAAGCCAGTGCTGCCTGAACCTCTAACGATGTCCCCCCTCCCTGTACTCTCTCTCCTCGCTCTCTCTCCCTCCCGGGCATAGGGGTCGGTCAAGACCCCCGGGCATCAAGCCCACCCGGACATTGTTTGTGCAGGAAAGGGGTGTGAAGAACGAGTGTAACTTCTCTTTCTGGCTAAAGCCTCATAAAGAATACGATGACGAGTACAGAGAAGTGTATACTCTCCGTGACATGAATTGCACTCTCTCCCTCTCTCTCTCTCGCTCGATCTCGCTTTCTCCTGCTCCCTCCTGTTAGACATAGTCCGAACGTCGACATGCGCAGATTCAGAAGACTACGTAACATCGTTAGCTGTTTCAGGCTATGAAACCTCCAGAAACTTCTGAACTACGATGAAACCGGACTTTCACCGAAGCAAACATTCCGTCTCGCCTGGGGTGCACCGCGCGAGTTTGCCAGCAGGACCGGGATCCTCAGCGCGGCGGGTCTCATCGCCTGCTTGCATCGTAGCCTAGAGCTCTTGGACCCGAATTGGGCATCGGGCACTGAAGCTCCGCAGCCCCAACAACCCCATGCTTTCAACTCGAAGGTTGATCTGCCCTCTGCGCTAGAGTTCTCATAGACATGGATAGACATGGGTCATCATGGGTCAGTCTCTACACCTATGGGAATCTCGACATCCTTCCACACTGGGCGCCATGCAGTGCAGAAAGCTGATCCTGGCCAAAATCGACGAGAGTTGAGAAGCACATAGACACACACTCAGCTTTGCACACTGAACACGGAGAAGTTGAAAACAACAGCACTGTTTCGACGTAACATCACAACTGCGGAGAAAATGGTATATCCAATACTGTCCAGGCCCGCCCTTTCCTACGTTTCAGGCACAGGCTACGGCCAATGCTCCCGTGCAACACCTACTGCCGATACCGCTCAAGCACATTCCAGACATGAACCGAAGGCCTGCGAAGAAGGCGCTCCAGCATATGAATTCGCACCTTAGCTGGGCCCACCAATTATCGGGGCTCTCATCCATTCACGCTGGCCTTCCTAGGATTGATCCAGCACGGAACCGTAAAGCGGGATTTTCAGACAGTGCCTTCACTGTCACTTGCAACATCTTGCAACTGTGTGCTGTCTGCCACTTAGCCTCACACTAAGACCCTGAAGCCGTCTGTCCATTGCTTCCAACCTGCTGTCCATCGCCTTGGCTCTAGAACTGCATGCAATCGACTTGGCCTCCCAAGGGCCCCGGCCATGATGGAAGCGGCCAAAGAGGAAGCAGACTGCAGGCAGGAAGAAGAAATGCTGATGCGAGCTTGTCTGACAGTGCTGCTGTACGACAAGGCCGGGTCACGCGATGCTCCCAAGCTTCTTGCCAGCTTGTCTGGGAAGGAGCTAGAAATCTGTCTTTAAACCTAGCACCGGGCTGGAGTCCGGCTTTCGCCTGTCTCGTCAGACAGGTGCACAATGCTCTTGAAGTCCGGCCACCGACAACTCTCATACCAAAAGCAAAGCACAAACTCTATCTCGTTCTTCTTGCCTTGCTTAGAACTTTCAGAAGATGCAAAAAGCGCACTGAACTGTCTGGACCCATGAGGCCTGCCCAAAGGAGTCAAAGCTGGCCTGCGAAGCCCGTGCCTGACATCAAATGCTACGCGGAGCCACTGTTTGGCAAGGGCAGCCCATCTTCTCAGCGCAGCGCCTCTCGCGACGGGTCGCCCCTTTCGGCGAAAGCGGGGCGTGGCACCCACTGGCCGGCGCCCTGCGCAAAGATGCGTGGCTCGCGCATGTGCAACCCTTGCAGCGGTTCGTCTTCGCGCTCAACGCATGCACAGCCTGCGCCTCTGGAGCTGACGACCCTGGCGCTGTGGAAAGCAGCAAGACGGTCAGGGAGAGAAAGCTGAGAAGTACGGCCACCTTGGTCTGTCATGACTCGAGAGGCCCTACGACGCTAGTGGAGAAAGCTTTGTCTGCGACAGCCAAGCACACCTCCGGTCGGAATAATCGGGCAAGCAACCGGTACCTCAGCGGTTGCAAATAGTTGCCCCGGTACAAATTGCCTGCCTTGAAGCTTAGTGCCCGGCATACCGTTTGGGTAGGTGGGATCTTCCACACATGTTGACTGCCGTTGTGTCGACTTCGGACAGTTTTTAAACGTCTGCAGAAGGACGACCTTTGTGTGGAGCTCGGTGCGAGGAAGTGCTTTACCATACGATCAACGCTTCTGGGAAACATAAACCGAAAAGCTCATGCAAGGCATGACTGCAGCAAATTCCTCAATCTGATACTCTGATACGTATGAGACCAAGCCACAAGTTCTCTTTTGCTGCTTTGATTGCTATGCAAGCGGCCAAAAGCGCGCTCGCTCTTCACGCTGCGTGCCCAGACCCCCACGATGTGAACCGACAAATAAGCAAGGATTACACGTCGCCAGCTGGATAGAAAACAAGCATACGAGGACCGGGCATGCAACAAAAACTTCTGAAAAGATTCCGCATGAAGTCAATGCCTTCAGCAGCTGCATCATGCTTCTGGCTCTGGAAACAAAGCTCGAACTACGACTACTACACACGTAGCAGGACATGTAAGTGTGGGCTTGCCGGGATGTTGCACGTGTCACCCAGACCACTCCTCCTCATCATGCCGCCATCTCCATACCCCCATCGCTCGCTCCGACGACAACTGGGTTCATGCCGGGAAGCTTTGCCAAGAATTGCCTGTGTCTGCACACGGGACACTGGATGGCATTGTCATCCCAATGCTTGTTTGCTCCGTGTAGCAGCCAGCCCGAAATACATTTGGAATGGAATGCATGGTGGCATTCGAGTTGTCGGGCTTGATGTTCCACAGTAACCACATCAAGGCAGACCGAACACGTTACCTCCTTGTCCAGCTTGATCTCTGGAAGGTGCACCTGGCATGCAGCAGCACCAGCAACCAAGTGTTTGGCCTCAACTATACACCTGTATGCTACCTACTCCAAATGCTGGCGCTGGTGCACTGAAAACAAGCGCTACCGAAGCATACCCTGCATTCTCACTCAACCGTGGCATTCGTACTTGCCTTTCAGGCATGCCATCTCTATGGCTCATGTGAACCCGGACTATTGCAGGCGAGCTGGCATCTATCGTGGCCAGCATGGCGACTTTCTCTGCTTCAGATCTCTGTGGAGCTGTAGCTGCTGTTGCATGCAGATGTGCCTCCGGTGGCGGGGTGTTGTAATCGCCCGTACATGCTCGAATGGCCGCCATTACCAGGAACATCAGCCACACCAGCCCGGTAGCGATGGCGAAATACACAATGGGGACGGTCGGCATGGCATCTGATGCTAGTGTCCTTCTAAGCTGTGCTGTCTGCATGATTTTAAATAATATGGTCATAACGTCTGGTAGTCTGCTGTTCCTCCTCATGTTCAAGTCTGGCTTCTGCACCGTTCTCCTCTTTTCGTTTAAACTGACTCTTGGTCCAGAAGCTGCACTGGCACACCATCCACACAAACTGCAGTTTAGACTTTGAGCAATATCATCATGACGCGAAAAAATCTAAAGCTTGTGTTTTTGTGCCGTTTGGGGTGCCTAATACAGCATCGAGTCTGTCATGACCGTCTGCGCTGACAGGAGTACAAGACTGGCACGACAACCATTTGCAATCTCTGCATGGTCATACAGGTGCTCTGTGGTTTGCGACTCCCTGCATGGAAGATTTTTCCCGACATCGTGTCTTTCCGACATCATCTGACGCGACAAACCCGAAGGCGGTAGGTAAGCTTTCGGGCCCTCGTGTCGACCGTTTCCTTCGATAACTCCGCTGGTCAACGATCGCTCGTCGAGGGCTTCGTGGTGTGGATTGGGTAGATATGCCCAAAACCAAGCCAGCAGACCACAGCAGGCGGCTGGCAAAGCGGGAAGGGGTGGGTCAGCAAAGGCGTCGCTGAGGAGCGGTGTCTCGGGGCTGCTACGACGTAACGACAAGTTGAACGAGGTCCTTAGCGAATTTCCAGCGCAAATCGCCTTCATGCTGTTCCGGATGATGGCATAAAGCAACACAGTTGCTCAACAACACACTTGCTCGACTCAACCTTTTCGGATGATTTCGTGGGCACCGCCATGCGGACGAAAACCCGCTTGGTCGGGTGACTGGCAACTTTCCAGCAGCGGTTGCAATCGTGAACACGACATTGTTTCAACAGTTTTGTAAGTCACTTTCAACATCGCAATCGGGCGCCATTCGAAGCCACGGCAGCATCACCAGGTTTAGGGAGCACGTTGAAAACGGCATGGTGCTGGTTGTACATGGTTAGGAAGCACTGATGTAACATCCTGGCCGGCATGAAGAAACATCTCCAAGACCAAACCATCGCCGCTTGCAGACTTACCATTCCTAAGCCGTTTCAGGGCCAATTGGAGTTCAGCATCATCGGATGCAGGAATATTGTCAACACGCCGCTGCGGGCGCGCAAACAATCGTGAAAAGGCAATGTACTGTGACTGTCATCATTGGTCGAAAACTTATTTTCCAAAACACCTTCTGCGGTGTCTGACACCATATGTAACAAATCAATTTTTGTTGTGCAGTTTGTGGTTTGCCACCTTCGTGTTAAGAAAGCTTTTGATCGCATGGAACACAACGCAGTGATTATGCCCTTGCGAAGCAAGGAATCGAATCTTCCTACATACAGCTATTCAGAGAACTGTACATTAATGGGTCAAACAAAGTTTGTGCACGGCAGCCGCAGATCTGGCATCCTGCGTGTGTTTTGAGCCCGTTGCTTTTCTGCGAGTTATCCCTATGGACCCCTAAGTGCCCAACACCCGAGGGCTTGAGCTAAGCTACCCTAAAGTGCGTTTGCACTTGTAGAATTACCACTGCGCACCGCAGCCCTTTTGGTGGGTCAGCTGTCGGCAGCGGCCGTGGGCCGCCAGCTTGCTGAGCTGGCGGCCGCCCTGCAATGGGCGGAAACATCTCCACCGTGAGATGCAGCAAGCAGAAAAAACCCAGCGCCTAGGGCCCCAGCTGCTGCTAATGCAGCAGGAGGGCGGCACCGCAGCGGCCGCGGGAGACCCGCCAGCAGCGCGGCATCGGCGGCAGCGGTGGGTAGCGTTTCGCCGCACCTCGAGGAGGCAAAAAAGGAGGATCCCGAGGAAGACGCGGTCGAAAGCGAAAAGTACCGGTTGCTGAGCGTGAAGCTCTTTGGCATGCTGGTGAGCTTGGTGGGGGAATGCCCGCCCGCCGTGAGCATCGCACGTGGGATTCGCCGCCAGGATGGGTTCCTGCTGTGTCGCCAACTGTGGCGGGAATTCCGCAAAGGCCTGATCTGGCGACGCTTTTGAGCCCGAAGTTTCCCACAAAAGTTCTTTTTGTTTTTTGTTTCACGCACGCTGCGTGCTACAACTACGTTTACCGGCAGGGCCCAACGCAGTCAGCCTGAGGCCGTCAGCGCGCCTCAGCGAGGAGCCCGTGCAGCTCTGGCTCGGGCCCGCCCCCCCAGGTCACCGGCGGGAGGCAACTCAAGGAGAGAGGCGGCCAGGGCGCGCTGCGCGACGACTGCGAGGAGGCCAGACCAACGTGCGACCCAGGCAGTGATCGCGCTGGGTCGCAGCATGGTGGGGACGGCGGCGGCCCGGTGCCGCGCCAAGAGGCGCAGGAATTGCGCAACTTCGGCGCAAAACCTGCCGCCAACCTCAGTACCAATGACGACGAGGCGGCATCTCCGGGCTCTGCCGAGTTCGAGGTACGTGCTGTGGCGCTTGCGCCGGGCAGCCGACGGCGGAAGTGGCGCAGGCAGCCCGGTGATCACCCTGGCGGTCAAGGAGCCCGTGGCAGGCGCACCTGCGCGGCGCAAGCGGCGGGGGCATGCGCAAACGCCGCAGCAAAAGCACGCGGAACAGAGCGCTTGGGATGGTGACGTCGCTGTGCGTGGGCAGGACGTTGATGGCTCTGGCGGCAAAGGGCCCTGCTTGCGAAAGCAGCAGCGCACGGGACGCAGGGGAGAGCTGAGAAAGGTGCGTCTCGAACGCGCGCTCATCGCAGGCTCGGGCAGCAAGCCGATGCCAGCCTTTAAACGGCCAGGGCCCGGAGTCCTCGCCGGGCCGAGGCGTGTTGTTAGGGGGCGGACCAGCGCCGTGGGTATCCCAGTCCGGTGCATCGTAGCCGGCCTGTCGCAGGTGTGTTAGCGCAGCAACTGCGGCGGCAGCGGAGGGGAGGGCGGCAGCCAGGGCCTGAACGTGCTGGGTTCTCCGCTCGGCCACGACGATTTCGTCGCGCGCCAGCTGCAACGCAAACGCCAGGACCAAGACCGGCTTCTCGACCTGACGATCTCCAAGCCGCTTGACAACTCCTCCAAAGCTGCGCGGCCCCGCGCGCAAACTACCTGCTGCGCATTTTGCCACCGCACCTCACAGCTGACTATGCTGCTGCGCATGACGCTGCCGTAGCCCGCTGCTTGGCCGGGCTGCTCGAGCAAGGGGAAACACCCTTCTCAGCTACTGGCCTGCGCGCCGCCCAGCTAGCACAGCGGTTTGGAGGACTCGGGCTCCGCTCCGCCCGTGATGACAGCAGTGCCGCACACTGGGCATCCTGGCAAGACACGCTACCTGTCATCACTGCACGGGCGCCGGCAGCTGCCGCAAGACTCCTCCAAGCCCTGCGAGGCGACATCGACGGGGGCATGGGCTGGGCATGGCTGGCACATCACGAAAGCGATCACGCCATGCATCTAAACAATCATTGCCTGCAACCTGCCTTCCAGAGGCATTGGCACCTCATCGATCGCGGCAATGTGCGGGTTTGTGGCCAGCTGCGCCAAGCGAGGGTTTGAGCGCGACTGACGCTCTTGCGAGCTTAGCCATGACAACCACAAGCAAACAATTGCCGCCGAACCACATGATGATCTTTTTCCAGCGCACCTTTTTCTTGCTCCCCCACACTCCTTTTTCCGTCCGCAGCTTGGTCACCACTACGGCGGCGCCGCCAGGAGCTCGCCCACCAGCAGCCCGGCGCGGTCGCTGGCGTCGCAAGGCTGGACCGGCAGCTCCCGCGGGCTTTGGGCGTGCGCTCGCAACGCCGCGAGGGCCGTCCAGCGTCTCGTGAGCGCGGCCCCCGCAGCCGCCCGCGCCCACGGTGCTCGCCTTTTACGACTGCGCAAAAGGGTCCGGTCTCCGTGCATGCTGCAAACTGCGGCAGGCAGCTCGGGGTGGGCGGGCTGCGTCGTGCAGAACGTTTCCAGTTGCCAACCCAGACTGGCTCACTGCCCCCGGCTGCGGTTCTTCACCTGCGGCATTCCAAATTCGAGTTTTGCCCTCATAGACGCGGATCCGCGCCCGGTTCCAGAGGGCTGCGGCGAGCAGGTCGTAGAGGGGGCGAATGCGCTCAGGCAGCGTCGTCGAGGAAGGCGAAAACGGCTTCCCCATCGAGGAGCTTGGAGTTCTCGGCAGCTCTCCAGGAGTGGGACAGAAAGCGACCTGGCCAAGTACGAAGCAAAGTTCGAAAGCCGTCTCCAATGAGGATACGCGTGCGCCGCATGCCCTCAAGCAGCATCTGGCGATGACGGCTTCCCGCCTGACTCGCTGCAAGGATGTTCGCTGCCTTGTGGTGTCGTACTTGCAAGGGAAGGGGGTATGGAATTCTAGCACGACGTACGCTCAGCCAAGCCGCCGCCACCTTGATCCCGACGCGATGGATATAGAGCGCATAGGGGACAAGGGCGGCAAGAACAAAGGCGGCAAGGGTGGCAAAGGTGGCAAAGGAGACAACGGAGACGAAGGCAAAGGCGGAAAGGCCAAGGAAATAAAGGGCAAAGACCACGTCCACAAAGAAAAGAAGAAAAAGAAGTGCCCGATCTGCTGGTGGACCGGCCACACCGTGAAGGAGTGCTGGTACAACTCCAAGAGAAAAGGCAAAGGCCAGCAGAATTTCACGCACCTTTATCTTTTCACACACACCTTTTTCCGGCTGCGCGAATAGAGTCCGCAAGGGTAACTGAAACCCTTTTTACGTCCGCCTAACTCGCAAGTCCAAGTTCCCGTGCAATTTGCGCGCTGTGGGCCGAGGCGGCTGGGGCTGGGAGGGACTGCATCGTGCAGTACGTCCCCGAGTGGCGGGTGCTGCGCGCCAGGCAGGGCGCCAGCGATGTACGGCGCCCCGAGCAGCGTGGCAGCAAGTGTGCTTTGCAAAGCCACGCTTAGCCAGCCCTGCCTGGCTGCAGGGCGCAGGGCGGCAGGAGCGCACTGGGCTCGGAGTCGCACGAGTTGGGTGACTAGGCGTGGGGATTCAGCGCTCCAGCGTCCTCCAGCTTCGCAGGCAAGGACACCAAAAAAAC